GGTTGAGTACAGCAAACTCGGTACTTTTCCTCCTCCAAGAACACTTCTTCGGGTGCGAGCAGTACCTGCAGCTGGGTACGTCTTTGAATACCATATCCCCTCCAGGGAAGAGGAAAGTTGTCTTGCTTGTTGAGAACGGGAAGAAATTTGGCCTTTACAAGACGCCGGTGATCGGTAGGTGAGATTGAGTGTCTTCGTTCTAGCTTCGTGTTCATGAAAGCTAACAACGCCTTCACTCGCTTTAATGCTCCATTACGGTCGACTGCATTTAACGTCTGAATGCTTCCAGCTCTTTCTGCAACTTCGGACCATGGAAGATCGTCGGATGCCATTCCCAGTTGTTCAAGTTTCGCAAGTCTTTGGGGATTAAGATACGATTCTTGACTGCCAGAAGGAAACCTTCCATCGCAAGGACTGAATAATGATGCTGCTTCTCTGACAGGATTTAAGAGTTGGCTGGGGCACTTGAGCGTCTCACCAGATGGCGATACTGGAATGCAAGCGTGCTGTTTTATCAGAGGATGGAAATTTCTACTGTTATCATCCAACGCATGCAAGGTAAGTATATCTCTCAGGGAAGTAGGAAGTCTTGCAATATTCTTGAAGAAGCATTTACGGAAGAAACAGTCCTTGCTGTAGCTTCTTTTACTAATTTCGTTCTTCAGACCACACTTTTCGAACGACTTGAATACTTCAGACGGTAAATCGATGATCACGTTGCTTTCTCCATAAAGCATTTTAAAAACTTTAAAAGAGGCTTCTCCAATTTGAGATTCTCTACGGAACTTCGGATCAAGGAATAAAACCTTGTTGATGTCAACCCAGTCAACTCCATCGGAGAAAAGCGCAAGACCGCCTCTGGCGACTTGTTCATAGAAAGACATCATGAGAGGGGAGCAGTTGTGGTGAACATTTGAAATCGTTGGCCACAGCAAATGGAATTTATATGAGCTTCCAACGGGAACAACTGACGTCAGATCCTGGAGAAGACTCAGAAAGGCATAACAAACGGAGTCTTGCATGAGCACTTCGTTCCATTTAACTCTATAACACGATTTGTCATCTTCAAGTTTCTCCTGCAAATGGCGTCTGTTGGAAGCAACTGCAAATGCGCCATTTATGTGCACAGGCAAACCACTGTGGATTGGAAGTGGTAGGTAGCAGAAAACAGTGCCATTGGCATCCACTCCATCGACATTCTTGATAACTGGCGATGGCAAAAATATGTTTGATTTTTGTGCTAACAACTGAACTGCTACTCCTGCTGATGGAACCAGACTTGGGTCATCATGCTTCTGGACAAACTGCATTGCCTGGCCACTGCCCATTGACGACACAATAAGCCATTTTACCTTCTCCTGTTGAAAACGCGAGTCAACATTGAAATAATCCAGACCGCTTTTTGTGAAATTGCAATCAATGTCCACCATGAGCGTCGATTTTGGAAACTGCCTTGGGTCAACATCGTGATCTCTTACGTGTCTCGTAAATTTCGATGCTACTTGAAGGAAGTTGCATTGTTTAAGGAAATTCTGTTTTTCCCTACTGAGCTTCTTTGCCGTGGCTGGTAGCGTGACATCGAAAGATAATGGCCTCTGTATCCCTGTTTTCGAAGCTGATTTGGTAACCTCGAACAACAGTAAAGGTCGTAGATTTTGAGGTGAAAACTGTGACAAATGGTAGATGCCAACGCGGAGTATATTCTGTGTAAAAAGAAGCAAATTGTTTGCTCCTTGAAGAAACATTTGCAACAGTTTCTGCATTTCGTTGTCGTCGTAAGACAACTGCTTAATCTCACTTCGTATCGCTTGCTCTCTTGTTCTCAGTGGAAACCGAAAAAGTGTTCCATCAAATGAGTTGACTTCCCCGTTCAGATGAAACTCGCAGCCAAATATGCCATTGAATGGTTTGAACTGATCCCTATATTCCAGAAGTCCGTCGGCATCTTTCCTGAGATCAATCTTAATGCCTGGCCTAGCGGCGTTCTTTTTGATGAACTCCCCGAGGTGCGACATGTGAGGGTCAAAAACCACGAAATAGTTCCTACTTAAAAACATGGGCACATCTGTCAAGTTGTAGACTGCATTGAAGCCAAGTCCGAACTTTCCAATCTTCTCAGTGTCATGCTCTTTTGTCGCGCCGCTCAATTTTTCTATGTTCACGAAATCCTCATCTCTGAATACAGCGTCGTTGTAAACCCACAGTGCAGGACCCTGGCAGTCTCTCATTCCTTCATCAAACAGATAGCTCATGGCATCTTCGTTCGTTCTTTCATCATATAGGAATCTGATTTCTGTGGCACCGGCATCATCTGCGTTTTGAACAAGCTCTTTTAGAACTGAAAGTCCATCCGTGTAGTCCTCCAGAAGCCGCTTCAGTCGAGTGGTGAGCGGTTCATGCTGCCCAAACTCTTCTCCTATAGAACGCCTAGGCAGTCTTCTTCTAGCGAAGGCCGTTGAGGCTGCGGCTTTAGTCGATTTTTTCATTATCGCCTTCTTTCTTCAAGCCAAGTTCATAATACGATCAGCAGGCTACAACAAAAAGTTATTTGTAATTGCCTTTGAATATGTGAAGGTGAATTAATCAACATGACACGAGCGTGGGACAAAGAAAAATNCATCTTAATATAATTGTACGGCTAGAACAGTCGCAGCGTCATAGGCACAGCGTACATGATATGACATGTTTGATAGATGCAAGGTCTTAAAAATGGACGGTGTCATTTTGCGCTTAAGGTCTCCCCCTTTAAAGCGAACTTGACAGCGTCAAACGATTACCCAAAATAACTCGGTACAATCCAGTAAGGCCTAAGAAATTTACCAATCGACAAGTGCAAAACAGAAAGCGTGACTGTACTTTGAACTCGTAGCTGGTAGTGCACAGTTACTGAAAGGATTCAGAGTCGATTGTTTTTATAGGTCGCCCGACAAATCAGTCACCAGTTTCATTCGATCATTTTATCTTTAAACGAGTTCCATTATTTATTTGGACAGGACAGTTTCGTTGGCGCCCTGATAAAGCGTCTAAAATTAATAGTATTCCGAATGGGATTTAAAATATCACCGAAGGATGACACTCGCAAATGTTGCATATGCGTTATGCTGTTATAGTTCGTAGCTTTGTGATCGACTTTAATTTCCGCTCACTCTCAGAACAAATCGCACCGACATACGCCCGAGCGAATTTCCCTATTAAAAAGCAACTTTTTTCGCCCTCCTCGAACAATGATACAAACCGCTGATTTTCTGCTAAAGACGTTTCTAAAATATAACATACTGAAAGATTTCCTTACCTCTTTCTCAGTTTCAACCTGCTTTCGAATCGAATCGGCGTACTCGCTTTTCGCTAGCCTACGAATACAGCGCAAATGTGAACAAACAGATCCCTTTCCAAGAATCCTCAACGATTCTGGGAAATGCTTTTGTAATTTCCGAAAATACTTTTCCGAGAAAAGGTAGATCAATTATCACATGATAACTCACAAGATAGCGATACGTGACGTAAGTGATTTTTACCAGGTCCCGTATGTGAGTTGCGAATGCAGATTCACGCTCGTACCCTGAACCACCAGTCCTTCTGATCTGGTGGGGACTTGGCACGAGAAAAAGGAGGCCACGGGCGGCTACAAGAGATTGGCCGCTCTGGAAACGAGAATGTTATCGACTAATATGAAAACTTGCTGAAGTGAACGAGCAACACCGTGAGGGAAATGTTTTTACATCCGAGGTGGTTGCTCAATATCAATTACAAGGGGTTGCTTCTCCGGAAAGATTTACAATGCCATGTGATGAAACTTTCTTCAAAACATAATGACACGTCCAATGCTGCGTTCATCGTTAAAATATCGTCAGTCTTCGAGCTCACCATAACGATACAAAATGGAAAATCATTTCAACAGCAGTTGCCTCTAGTTGAAAAAAAAAAAACCACAAACAAACAAAGTTAACGAAACAAAACAAAAACACAAGGCACGCGATTCGTTGAGAACTAAATTCTAAGCCCATTTGCTTGTTGCAAGCGTATCTGGGAGGGAGGGTTGAAATTTGCTAGATGCTTATGAAAAGCGCGATGCCACGCCCTATGTCCGTGATAGGTTCGGGGGGGNCGGTGGGAGAAGCAAGTTTGATAGCCCTACCCCGAACCCAAATCTCTGGTTTAGTATGATAGTTTCTCTTCAACAAATTGAGTAAACATTACTAGGTCCAGGTGTGTTGATATGATACTTTACTTCGATCAGAGATGTTGCATCGGGATAAATATATACAGCCCACATCCCTGAATACTCGTAATTTTAATTAGCTGGGTGCAGAGTTTTGTCTGAACTGCCTCAG